GGGTTCTCACAGCTGGTTTTTGTTGGCATCCTGTCCTCTGTCAGGGTGGGACAGTGGGCCTGGCTACAACAGGGTATGGATGGCAGATCTGCAGGCACCTGCCCTCACAGATGTCCTACCTCTCAGACCTTGTCCTGAGGCCATCTTCAGAGACCACTGGAGCCTCAGGATAAACACCTACTGTTCTCCAGTCCTTACCAGGGCAGAGGCAGAATTGCTCAAACACAAACACATATTTGAAGTTTTAGCAACTCAGGTCCACCAGCCTCCAGGTTTTGATACTTCTAGTCCCTTCAGTAAATTCCCACATAGCCCTGACCCCACTTGGGGCCATTTCCGTGGTCTAACAATTGCCTTAAAAAACATCAAATGGAACCTTGTCCCAGTGTCTTCTGCACTCTAGCCCCACTTCTCCATCCTCTGCCAAGCTCCAGGGAATATTCCCAGCCACTCCCCTCCCTAACTCATGCCCCCTCCTCTCCCAGTGGAGCCTCCACCTCCCTGACCTCCTCTCTTTGCTCATCCCAGCCTGGGTGGCAGAATTCTTCTGCATGCCCTTTGATATTTACTTCTCTAATCACTGCTGCTAGGCCCCAGTTTCTACATGAACCATGCTGTCAGCCAGCCTCCAGCAGCAGGCCCTCCCCTTGCCCACAGATCACGCCTAGCATGGCCCACAGTGCCGACCCAGCCTCTATCCACTGACCCTAGTGCCCCCTGGATTGGAGCTCATGGCCTCCTGCCTCCTGTGCTGAAATGTCACTGCCTTCCAGCCCCTTCCCCCAGCCCCATCATCCCAGCACCCACTTCCTGTTTGCAAATGTTCTTTTTGTTCCGATCTCAGCAAATGATGATGTTTCTTATATTTTGGAATAACTGTAGATCTGAAGGAGAGACAGTTCTCAGGGTTCCTGGCTATCCCTCCCCAGGATTCCCATAATACAAGTTAATATCCTATACTGCTGTTGTATTCACCAAAAGAAAGATACCAACATGGTTGCTGACATCTTTTCAACTGGCTTGTAAGTAGAACATCTGAAATTTCTCTATTCACCCTACCGTGAATGATGCTCTACTAGTGTACACAGCGGGCCTCTCCTGGCAAAGGGTGGATGTGATTAAACAGTTTCTAAAGTGCCCTAAGTTGGCTTCTGGTGGCCTCCAAGGAGCCCAGCCATTGCTCAGAAGGCTGACAGCCAGGGCCTACACTATGCTAAAGTGAATGACCTTCCAGGTTTGAATGACCAGTCAGGTCCTAAAGGGGCCCATGGCTGGCCCAAGGAGAAAGAAGGGGGATCTGCCAAAGGCAGCAGCATCCATCGAGCCAGTCTCGCCTCCAAGTGGAATTCACCAGCCAAGAAGAAACGTGTTCTTGTAAAACCTAAGGCGGGAAGAGGGATGACGGGCCCACCATCATCTGCCTTGCTTCCAGGAACAATTTATCAGGGTGGTGGAGCTGTCAGCGCTGACATGATAAGGAATAACACCACATGAATAATGCTTCTGCCAACACCAACTCCTTTAATTACAAGCCTCTTCTTTCCAGAAGAGAGACAGAAGATGCAAAAACACCAATTTCATGCACTTGTGCCTGAGTAATGTCTCTGTGCTGCTTTTTCCAGATGGCGACCTCCTCACTGGAGGACTAATGATGTGGGCATATTTAGGGAAAAACCAATAACGGAGTCTTTAACCTTCAACAACAAAAAGCGTGTTGTACAAAATGTTCCTGGGGATGCATTAGAAAATATCAATTACACTGCTCACTGAGGTGTAATCAGCTGTAATAATCAAAATTAATTTTTAAAAATAATTAAACAGACCCCAGGGCAAATAGTCGACGCTCTCTTCCTATGACATCACAGCGCACACATGGCCCCAAGAAAGCGTGCCTTCTGGCAGCGGCTCACAGAGACGAGAGGGCTGGTGCGGGAGCCACGGCTGCGGAGCTTGTCTCCACGAGCGCAGGGGCCCTGCTTGGCCTCCTTGCGCACCGCTGCCGCTCTGATCCCTTGCAACCTGATCCGTAGCAGGGGTGGTGTCCACCCAGACTGAGCTACCCACCTAGGATGCTGCCAAGGCCAAGTGCAGTGTTTGCTGTGAAAGTGTATTCACAATGCATCAAGTTGGGAACTTATTTATTTGCTTGGTGCTGGGGATTGAATCCAAGAGCCTCACATTGAGCAGTATCACTAACCCTTTTTTAAACTTTTCATCTGAGGAAGGATCTTACTAGGTCTCTATGTTGTCCAGATCGGGCTCGATCTCATGATCTTCCTGCTTCAGACTCCCAGAGTGCTGGGATTACAGACATGTGTTCCTATGCCCAACATGCATAAGGTATTTTAAGCTTTGAGAAAGACAAAGAAGTCGGACTGAAGGGCGAATGAGAACCAAGGGAAAGAAGAGGCCAGGGGAAGGCTGTGTGTGCACACGTGTGAGAGCACAGGTGTGCTCACAGAAACCATCTCTGAGGAGCACAGGGATAAGATCTGACCGTGCTGGCCGGCCTCATAGCTCAGTGGACTAAAGCACCTGCTTAGGCAGAGTGCAGCAGCTGGGGTTCAACCCCGGTGTGCTGTGCTGGCCCTGCCCCCGGGGTGTGCTGAGATGGAGATTGAGACTGGGCGTGGTGGTGTGCCTGTAATCCCAGCTCTTGGGAGGCTGAAAACAGGGGAATCACTACGAGTCCTAACTACATAGTGAGACCCTGTGCAACCTGTAGACTCTGTCCTAAATACAGAAAAATAAATAAATAAATAAATAAATAAATAAATAGTAAAATAAAATAAGATCTGACCATGATAAGCTTTCTGGCCTCTGAGGGTCCCGATCAAAGAAAAACATCAGAGCCAGCTGTGCCATCTCTGCCACTGAGGTGCTGAAAGCAGACGGAGGTCCCCACCTGGCTGTCAGGAAGTAGAGGTGGCATCTGTACCTGTGGCCTGAGGTGGAATGGACAGCCAACCTACACCTGCTGCACTGCCACTGGGCGAAGCTCCTCTCTGCCTGGCCTGGCTGTCCCTGCGCATCACAGGCCCCTGTCCTGCTCAGATCTCTCCTTGTTGGCAAGGACAGCCTTGCCAATGCCCTTCTCTGTGCCTGGCTTCTCCCCAGCCCACCCACTTAGACCCTGGTATTAGTCCTCATTGCAAGTAGCACTCTGACCCTTACAAATGTACTTACCTGGACATTGTCCTCCTCACTCAAAGATCAGCTCTAGAAAAGTGCAGTTGGAGCCACCAAGTTTGGGCTACTTGGTGAGACTGGGTCTCAAAATCAACCAATAAAAGAGGGAGGGGGGCTGGAGGTGTAGCTCAGTGCTGCCCCCCAAAACTCTACATAAATAAATAAATAAGTATTTTTTTTCTTGCCTGCAACCTTGGTGCTCAGCACAGGTCATGGATCTGGCACTCAGTGACTGTCAGTTGGATGACATGAATAAGCACCATGTCCCCAAACAGCTCTCTGCTTCAGTGTCCAGCCCGGAGGTGAGTCCCCTGCTCCCAGCCCTGGTGCTCACCCCAGCAGCCTCCTCAGTGCCAGCCTCTTGGCTCCACATGTATGGAGGCCAGGCTTCATCAGGCAGAACAGCTGTGGACAGCCTGGAAGCCTCTTCTCCCCAACATCTGGGCCCTTGAGGCCACAGTGGGCAGAGATTTGGAGCAGGGACAACTTGGGTTCTTCCTATTTCTCGATATTGTCAGGAAATCTGTAAGAAGTGCTGCTTGCCAGCTCCACCTCCCCATTCCCAGGGCGATTTCTCAGGAGAACAAAGGAATTTGTCCAAGGCTTCCCAACTCTAAGGAACCAACCACAGTCTGCCTCTGAAATATGTCCGTGACCCAGCAGTAGGACACAGGACAGACTCCTTTCCAAACACAACCTCAGCAGCATGTCCAGGAGGCCCAGTTCTCACAAACCTGCCTCTCCCCACCAGGAGATGGCGCCAGCTGTCTCTATGCCTGTCTAAAGCACTGACACAGATGCCTGCTGGGTCCTCCGAGATGTGACTTCTGCCTGGCCCTCACTCTGTCTTTTTCCCCCTCTTTCCTGCTTGGCTGTGCAGACTCAGCACCCAGCTGGAAGGAAGCCTCACTCACATGGAGAGGCTATGTAGGCAATTCGACCAACACCCCACCTTGGGCCACAGCCAGTGGCAGCCCTCAGGGCATGTAACAGACTTGGTGGAGCAAGCCACCCCACTTTCCTTGTGCTCTAAATTCTTCCAATGGTACCCAAACATCATTGTTGGTGCCACGGACTATAAAGATGGTTTCCCACATAGCGTTGCAAAATCCCTGATTCTGCCTGGCACTGTCCCAAGGACCCTCCCTTGTGTCTGCCACAAGAGCCCAGTACACCATTGGGGTCAGCGTCCTCTGATGGGCTCAAGTGGCCAGGGCCCTGCTCAGTGGACCCCTATCTTCTGATGGCATCGAACTCCCAAAGCATGGGACCTGCCATCTCTCCTTTTAGGGTACTTCATTTTAGGTTTGATGGTAGAAGACAAAAAGACAGGCTTTGTAGAGCTGGAGTTGGGGTTAGGAGAAGGAAAATGATTGGGCTATGATATCTACATGTACCAGTTCCCCCAAATAAACGTAACTATTTTGTCTCCCACACATACACAAATAAAAATCTCATTTATAAATTGAAACTAGACTATAAAACAAGCTATCTATACACAAATCATAGTTTACCTAATTATTCCCCTTACTTTTAAGGGTTTTTTCCCCCAATGTTTTTACTATTACAGTAAGCACTTAAATAGAAACACCTCTGTAAATTAAAAAACAAGCAAATGCACACACAATGTGTTACTTCTCTGTCACTCCAAGTCATACCAGTCTGAGAGTCAGGGCCCCCCACATGATTTCAGAGAAGCCACCCCAACACCTGCCACTCTCAGAGGTTCCTGTGCCCGGGTCACATGCAGTAACAGGGCACAGAGAGGAGCTGCAATGGGCGCCCCCTAGGGCCTCGGGGTCTGGGCTCACCTCAACTCTGCACACAGGGTCCTTGGCCTGGCGCCCAGGCATCAGTCGCATGGCTGAGGACAGGCTCCCACTCCATGACGAGACTCTGCTCTGCCGTGCGTCGGCCGAGCGGCTGGACAGCGCCTTCTTTTCGGATGCTGGGGGCAGGGAAGCAAAGAATGACAGACCGGAAGTTGGGAGGAAGACAGAGACAGCTGCCAGCTCTCAAACAGCCAAGCAGTGGCTCTACTCCTGCTCACCGCTTCATCTTGAGCTCACCTAGTTAAGGAACCTCGTGTGGGCTTGGGGGTCCCCAGAGCAGGGCTTACCTCCCAGGGCCAGGGCTTGCGGATGTACAGTGAGATACTGACAGCTTAGCTAAAGTTGTCTATGAAGTTAGGAGCACAGTATCTGATCTCACTGAGGGGTTGTGACGATTACAGAAGATCATATTCTCAAAGGACCTGGAATTGGGGCATGGTGGTACAATCCTGTAATCCCAGTGCTCTGGGAGGTGGTGGCAGGAGGATCACAAGTTCCAGCCCAGTCTGGGCAACTTAGCAACTTAAAGAGAACATATATCAAACTAAAATATAAATAAAAAAGGCTGAGGGTGTGGCTCAGAGCAAAGGCCCTAGTTCAATCCCCAGTGCTGTAAAGAATAAATAGGTGACACCTAAGTAGTGCTGCCAGGCCTTCAGCATGGTCTCCTCCCAGAGCGGGGTGACCTCTTCAATCTTCACTTCGCTCTCTCCAGGTTTCACAGAGAGGTCAATCTTGAAGGCATCCTCCAGTGCTTGCCTCCGCTGGGCCACCAGTTGCTGCCACAGAAACTGCACGGTCTTCTTGATGTTGTGCTGGGCTGGCAAGAGAGTGCAGGGCACAACCAGAAGGACCTCAGCTCTCCCCCTGGGGCCGCAGGAGCAGGCCACCCTCACTGCTGTTACCCAGATGCTTCTCCTGTGAGCTGTGGGCTGCAGCAGCCAGCACGCAGAGCTGTGGCATGACCTACTGCTCCCAACACCCAAGCCAGCTGGCCTGGCTCACCTCCCGTGGCCTTCAACCAGGTCCTGTCTGCCTCCCACGTCCAGGCTGGGAAAAGCAGACTGAGGATCCTAGGATGCTCTCCCCACTTCCCCATCTGCTGGATCCCAGAGACGCTTTGCATGAGACCTGCATGCAGCTGTGTAGCTGCGTAATGGCCTGAACTGCGTGAGGCGCCATGCCATCTCCAACTCACAACAAGATGCCCAGGGTTTCAGTGGTTAAGCCAATCTTCTAAATTAGTGGTGGGAACCTATGGCACACGTGCTACAGTGGACTCTCTGTATCGTTGAAAGCTCTAAAAGGCTCACTCTCACTGTTCTAGACAGCCAGTCCCACAGAGCTTTCTCTCCATCCGTCATAACTCCACCCCTCCATCCATCTGTCTATCTATCCATGTATCCCTTCTTACTCCATTTCTAATATACAAAGATTTTTCTAATCATTTTCTACCAGAAGACTTGCTGTATGTTATACTACCCTGGGATATTCTAGCTCCTCTCCTGGACTTTGAAAATGTCAACAGTTTTTCCTTTTTACCCTGGGAGAGGTGAATGGAAGGCCACAGCCTGACAGGTACCATGAGCCATCTGCTCCCCAACACAAAAAAACAAGCAGTACAATGTACCATCACTCAGGCTCGGGACATCCTCTTCTCTGTTCTCCTTCACTTCTTCACTTGGGGAGAGGAAGACTTGGTTATATGGAGTCATGCGAGGCTTGGGCTCCAATCCAAATCCTTCTGGGTAACTGGCAGACAAGAGGTTTTTCATCAATGCAAGTTTCTTTGGTATCATTCTAAGGTTCCTTATGACAGGCATCTGCCCTTCACAGTCAGTACACAGCAATATGGAAAAACAAGTCAAATCTACAGTGTAAACCCGACCCTTCCACGACAACTTCCACAGAAGTTGCGTAGTAGTTTTCTGGGTGGTAGGAGAAACATCTCCTCTTTACATGAGTCTTGCACATAGAAATTCTGCCTGTGCTCGCAGCAGGGCCCTCAGTCTTCTCCTGGTTCCTTTGTCATTTCTTCCTGAGAACTCCCAAATATTGAACTCTCTTTTGAACTGATTTTATCCCTCCTTTCTGGGGCCAGGACTGGCTTCAGGAGTGGGCAACTTGTACCACTGCACAGGGTCCTATACTTAAAAAAGCCCCTGCTTGGCCTCTGTTGTAACCCCCTTGAACATCTCAGTAATTTTTTAAAATAATCGCTGCACTGTAGCTTTGCCAGGGTCCCTCACATGATGGAACCAGTGCTGGGTGGAGACAACAGTGGCCTATAATACTGGACTCCCCCCAAAAAATGTGCTCTGGGGTCCAAACAGGTACAAGGCTGGGTACCTGCCTCCAGGGCCACCTCAGCCTCCTGAGAGAGTTAACATTTGGCAAAGGCTTGTTGATCAAACCTACAAAGGAAAACACCAACATATGAGGCTGTCAATCCTGAGAGCTGTAGACTGTCACCTTTAGAGGTTGGCCCCATTTCGCTGCATGGAGGGCTCAGGGGGCACTGGAAGAGAGCAATCTGCTCGGCCTTCTGTTCTGTTCACCTGCATTTTATGTGTGAATACAGAAAGAAAAGAGGAACTCCCAAAAGTAAACACACACTGAAAATTGGATATTTTATTTTAACCAATAAAAGGGCAAGTGCTCTTTCCCTGCTGGGAGGTCCCCTGGCGAGTTTTAAGACAAGCCAGCTGTCATACTCTATAATGTTCAGTGGTCACAGCTGCAAGATTAAGGGGTTTCTTTTCCACATGATAAAATTTATGATTTTTTTCTGGGACAAATATGATTCAGAAAAAAAACAACAAGTGCTACTTTAGAGGCTGAGGCAGGAGGATTGTAAATTCAGACAGCCTGAACAATTTAGTGAGATCCTGTCTCAAAAACTAAACAAAAAAATTTCAGAGGGTTTAGGAATGTAGCTCAGTGTGCCTGTTCTAGGTTTAGTCTCTAGTATCAGAAAATAAAAATGAATAAAAGAGAAGGGAGGGGAAAGCCAGCCAAATAGCTCAGTGGATTAAAGCACCTGCTCAGACGCAGCAGCAAGGGTGCGATCCCCAGCAAGCCGTGCCAGCCCCGCCCCAGTGCGTGCTGAGACAGCGACTGAGACTGGGTATGGTGGCACGCAACTGTCATCCTAGTGCTTGGGAGGCTGAACACCAGCAGATCATTACAAGTCTGATCTAGAAGTGAGACCCTGTAGACCCTGTACAAAAAATACAAAGAAAGGAGAAGGAGGAGGAGGAGAAGCAGAAGGAGGAGAAGCAGAAGCAGAAGGAGAAGGAGGAGAAGAAGAAGAAAATTGTTGAAAATGAAT